CTTTTATTTTATTTTCACATCCTTTTTTACATTTAATCTCACTCTCTTCCTCCCAACTCTCCCTGTTTCTCTCTCCTCTATCTATTTCATCTATCCCTCACTAACTCCCTCTTTCCCCTCTCATGCACAGGAGGTGTAATTGGAGCACCACTTTCCGCCATATTGTGATTTTAAAAAGCCTTTTTGCTTCACAGAGGAGAGAGAGAGAGTGACTGCTTCATCATTTTTCGATTTCCTGACATGGTTTTAGGAAGATAAAAAGTGAAGATTAATGTCTTGGGCAGCGCAGTAGAGTAAGGTGTTGTTCAGCGAGGCACCGATCCAACAGTAAGCCTTAGCTGTGCAGTATTACAGCGCATATCTTCTGGGAACTGATCTGGAGTCGGAATCAGAGCCAGTTGAAATCCAATATTGAAACACTGGAACACTGAGCTCATCAACCAGGGGCATTTCTGGGAACTGTTCCCATTTTCTCTCCTCCTTGCCCCTAACCCTTTGATTTTTCTGGCCCTTGACCAGCCCATGTGAGCGCCATGTTAGATGAACGCTGAAAACATGGCTCATCTCACTCCTCTGTGTCTGTTCACCTGCCAGCAGCATAATAGAGCACAGAGTGATGAACAGAGGTTTTGGTGCTGTTGGCAAAGTATTACCACAGTACATTAGATATGATTACTAACTTGCTTAAGCGATGAAGGCTGTGTTCTGAACTCGAACATGTAGCTTTCTGAAAAAGTGCCTCCTACTGCTGTATGACTGTGTACATGCTTTTTTTGTACAAGCTTGAGGGCATCTTTACAAACAGGTGAAGCTGGATGGGGGAAATAGGAAGAGATTAAGCATTTTACCACAGAGTTTAGAACAATCTGAGTCTCAGTCCACCCTTAAGTGCATCTGAAGGTTAGGCTATTTGAAGTTATGATTCTGGTTGTTAATGCATGTGTAGTGCCGCAAGGGAATCTGCTCAAGAGGGCAATTAAATTAATCACAGCCATCAACATACAATGATGACATACAGTGTATATGAGACTTTCTGTCACACACATTGAAGTGGACCAGACAAGACTACATTAGTAATTTATATGTGAGAATACTGATGTATTAATTTTCTCTCAGTTAACAACTTTATGGAACCCCGGAGTTTAAAATTATCCAATAAACTGTGGAATAACTCCTAGTTATTATAAAATGTTATTATATATTTCTAGTTTCATAAGATTAATGTAGTTTTTTTTAACTTCCTTACTTGTTTTTTCCTTCCCAAACCATTCAGCCAATCACATGCCCCCTGCCTCTCTTATTAAGTGAAACAATCGCTAACAAACTTAGCCAGCTATCTCCCGTTAGCTTGGTTTGTGAATTTGCCTTGGAGTAGTCATCATCATTAAAATTAAGAGATGTGTTTAGCAAGCTAGCTTGTCAATTCAGGGTTTCCTTGTCAGTGTTGCAAATCTTAAGATGTTCTTCAGAGAAACGCTCAACTCTCTGAGTAGAAAAAGACAGTGTTCATCTTTGGCTCCCTGAGCCAACAGGAGCTACATAACTAACTAGCTAGCAGTTTTTGAAGGGTAAGAATATTGTTGTGAAACAAAGACTAATTTTGACACGTAGAAAAAAAATTTCATAATGAAACTACAAAGGAAGTACTTAAACATTTCATAATAATGGGTTATTTTCATATTTGGTTGGAAATATTTAATAATTGATGGGTTTGTTTATATATTTTACATTATGTGTTTATTTATTCATATGCAGTCATATAATTCTTTCATAATGTCTTATTTATTTATTTGATGTTAAACACTCTGGAGTTCCATAACTGTGGAATAAGGCATCAAGAAGTAACATATATGAAATACTGCACTGAAATACAGCTGGGTGCTCTGCCTTAAAATAAAGCCTTCTGTATTTCTGCAAGATGAAATCAAGAAAAAGGGCAGCACTCTATAGTCACAAATCACCTTGCTTATTCCTGAATAGGGTTGCAGTGACTGGAGCCAGTCCCAGCTGACATTGGGCGAGAGGCAGGGTACACCCTGGTCTTGGTTGTTGGCTTACTGAACCTGACACAGAGCTCTATACTATACACTTACTCTAGTTAAATATTCCAGAAACCAACACTGCAGGTAATGAAGGACAAAATGTAGGATGGTTAATTGGTATAAAAGGAGGTTTACCTGATATAAAGCAAATTAAAACAAACTTTTTTTTATATCTACAGTGTAAGTATCTGTATCAATAATTAATATGTTCAGGTATATTTTTGACATGATAAGACAAGGTATGACAAGACTGATTTATCTAATGCATCCATCCAACAAATGGATGGATGGATGCATTGCCACACACACACTCCACACTCTAACCACACACGCTCACCTTCACTTCTACAGGCAATTTAGAGTTCCCAATTAACCTAAGTTGCATGTCTTTGGACTGTGGGAGGATCATGTGTCAATCATTATTATTGTTATTTTCATTGGACTGACAGAAATTCTGATGCATTTCAGCATAAAGCCTCCCAGCATCTAGAAGTAATGTTTTGTTTGTATGAACAGCTGATGATGCAGCTTTGGTTATCAGTACCTTATATTTTGTCTCCAGGAAATGGACATTGAGGTGGATGAGAATGGCACCCTGGACCTGAGTATGAAGAAACCTATTAAACGAGAAGGCAGTCTGTCCGGCACTAGCCCTGGGGTTCGGTCTCCAGACCCCTCTTCCTCGTCCTCTTCCTCGCTCCATCATGGTGGAAGCAGCGGAATGACATCGCCGAACCTACAAACCTACAAGCAAGAGGACTGGGAGGGACCGCTGGATTACACCAAGCCCAACCGCCAAAGGGAGGAGGAAGTGGAGGAGGTCAGTACAGTTATACTAAGCAGTTATACAGTTATACTTAGATGCTCCAAACTCACAATATTTCCTGTGATATCATCATAGAGGAATTATTGCAACCTAAATAACAACAGCCAAAATACCCCCTAAGCTTTCTGAATAAAAACTCTTTAATTGTTTACATCACCGTGTCTCATTCTGATCCCCTTGCCTTATTTCCTGTTCCCTTTTCCTCTTTCTATTATTCATTTATTTCACTGAACTGTGAGGGTTTCTGTATTGTTAAAACATTGCACTGTGCAACAGAGGTGGTGTGTCAGGTGCATTGCACCATCCTGTCTATGGCATATGCAAATTTTTACTCCTTTGAACTTTTTCAAAAGAAATATAAAGGGCCTTGAAAGTAAATTTTTTATGAGGACATTCTGCATTTGGAAACATTACTTGTCTAGAAAAGAATAAAAGGGGACCAGATTAGAGACTGTGTGCACATGGTGGTTTGCAGAGTTTCTTTTCTTGTATACAAATATGCAGATGATGTTGAGAACACCATCACTCAAAAATGTTCTAAAAAGTCAATCCACCCAACATCAACACTGCAGTGGACTTAGCAATGCATGAGACACATTGCATTGGACACATTCGTACTCATCTTAATGTTTCTGCATTTTTCAGATGGAGCACACTGGCCAGTCTTTCGTCTCATCTGACCCAGAGGACTGTGACATGATGCAGGACTGTCTGGAGGAAAGGAAGTACCCAGGGGAGGTCACAACCCCAAGCTTCAAGGTCAAATTCCAGCCCAAGGACAGCAAAAAAGAGCTGCTTTCGTAAGTACCAGCACTCAGTAAGTGGCTCTGTTGTGCTTTGAGCTAACTGCTAACACCAGTGGGCTAGCAATGAGGTATCTGATATAATGTTTACCTTGTTCACCATCGTAGTCTAGCATTGTAGCTTGCTAACATTAGCAAATTATCACTAAATCTAAAGGCAATCCATCGGGATTCAAAGTTGTGGACCAACCAAACACTGCCAGTCTGTCTACAAGAGAATAGAAACGATAGAATACAAACTTGTCACAAATAATCAGAACTATTCTGATCCGATCTCCCTGTCCTTTCTGATTCTCCCTCTCTCTTCTCTCCTCTTTGTATCTCTCCTCCTCACCCTCTGCAGGTGCCCTACACCTGGTTGTGATGGCAGTGGCCACATCACAGGAAACTATGCATCCCATCGCAGGTATGATTCACCACTGCAGGCTTACATGGGTGAATATATGCACATATGTAAAATGTTCACTCTACTGAGACCCCTCTGCTGCCTGTTCTCCACCTGAGTTCACAGCAGGTGCACCACAACTAATTCAAATATATTTTATTTGATCCCGACACGCCAGAGGCAGTAATGTAGCATGAGCCTGGGAAGCAAGACAGTCGTTGACTTTGATATGCATCAGTAATTTACCTCTTGCTGTCTGTCCTCTTCTTCCTAAATGACCTTGATATGCCTTGCATTCTTGATTTCCCTTCACTCATATCTTTCTCCTCTCTCCTTTCAATCCCTTCACGCTGGATTTCCTCGCTCCCCCCTTTTCGTCCTTCTCCTGTCTGTCACTCGCTCTTTCTCCTTTCTCTTTTTCTCTCAGTCTGTCTGGGTGTCCTCTCGCTGATAAGAGCCTTCGGTCCCTCATGGCGGCCCACACCCCTGAACTCAAGTATGTCTGCTCTACACCTTCACTTCCTTTTCACTGCCACTTCATTGCACTGCTACTGACACCGTCCAGTGCCACAATGCTTTATCCTGCTGACGTTAGCTTATTTTTTGTTGCTTGCTGCTGCCTTTGCTGCCGCTGCATCTGTCAGGGTGTTTTTTTTTCTGGATCTGGTTCAGACTGCTTGCTTTCACTTCAGTCAGGTCATGCAAATGTGAAATGAAACTGTAGTTCTGTAGTGTACATAGCTTTTTTTTAACTAGAAACCAGGCTTTTTATGGCTCACCATAGGCAAATGCTAGAAGTGTTTAAATGGCAATGAACCTGAGAAGATTGGATTTCAAACAAACATGCATATGAATGAATAAAAAAAGCACAATTTACATGCAGATCATTTCTCTCACTTGCATAATGCTATTTTCAGTAGATACCCCACTCTAAAATGACTACTTATTTCCTCTTTCCCAGATGCCCCACTCCAGGATGTGACGGATCAGGTCACATCACAGGAAACTACGCCTCCCACAGAAGGTAACATACACTGATCTGGAGTCGGAATAATATAAACGCATACACACACGGACACAAAGACAGAGCTAGTCAGAGAGGCCTAGTGACAGTTCGTGGCAGAATTAGACAGGGACCACATACTCACACATTTCCACGCCTTTCCATTATCCTGTTTTCGGCCATATTAGGCGTTTTTGAATTGATTTACTTTGCAATTTGGTTGAAGACCTTCTGTAAAACTTTTCTTCATTATAATGTTCTCTCCCTTTATCAAGTACTCAATTCACCAGAGCTCTTTTTCAACCCTATGTTATCAACTCCATACTTTCTGTTTTCAGTCTCTCTGGGTGCCCACGTGCCAAGAAAAGTGGAATTAAAACTCCTACCAAGGACAACCAGGAGGACTCGGAGCTTTTAAAGTTCGTACCGCTCAAAAAGCCATAATGTCTGCTTTTAGCGAGACTGACGGTAAAAGTAAAATCCAATAACGAAAGAGAGAGAGAGAGAGAGAGAGAGAGACAGAGAGAAAGGAAAGTCCCTGAAGGTCACTCATATGATCTGCCCCTGTAATGGAGACAAACATTCAGCCCCTTACTGATGGGAAAATACACCTTCTGCAGATACTGATTCTAAATGTAGTTCATGGTAGAGTATTGTAGAACAGATTTTCAATACATAAGAAATCCATGGGCTTCATATTGAATTTGCACACAAAGCAGTTTATCAACATATCTATAACTGCATGTGCTAATGCTTAATATCTCTTCTATCCCATATCAAACGCAGATGTAAGAAAATAAATTTGGCCTAGTAGAGAAAGAATATAACCAAAATCTTTATGATACAGCTCTTAGCTTTCTCTGCATGTAATCATTTAGCATTCTCCGTGTCTAACCTTTGTGCCTTCTCACTCTTTTTATTTCTTCCTTTGCTGCCTGGCTTCAACACTCCTTTTCCCTCTCCCCTCTCCTCCCACAACTCTCTGCTTGTCTTTTTCTCCCTTCCCTCCTTTCCTCTGCTCCCTGCAGATGCCCGGTGCCGGGCTGTGACAGCCTGGGCCACATCAGTGGGAAGTACGCCACGCACCGTAGCGCCTACGGGTGTCCGCTGGCAGCCCGCAGACAGAAGGAGGGACTTCTGAATGGCACGCCCTTCAACTGGAAGGCCTTCAAGACGGAGGGACCAACATGTCCCACCCCAGGCTGTGATGGCTCCGGACATGCTAACGGGAGCTTCCTCACACACCGCAGGTACAATGCATGCTGGCAGTTTTGTTTTTTTACTAACTAAAAATGATCTGGGACAGTGTCTGGCTCTCTAAATGAGAAGAGAGTAGAGTGACCTTATACAAGGTCTGACAGAGAACAACTAAATGAAAATAAAGTCCTGTGCCTTAAAGTCTGAGGCACTTCTGCGTCTATGTTTCTCTATTAAGCATAGTCATTTAAATAAATAGCTCAACATTTTGGGAATTCCTATTTGCCTTCTTGCAGAGACTCAGATGAGAATATCAATACTGTTATATCTGTTATATCAATACTGTTATATAGGGGGTGGCTGTGGCTCAGGAGGTAGAGCGGGTCGTTTCCTAACCGGAGGATTAGCGGTTCGATTCCCGGCTTGTCCAGTCAACATATCAAGGTGTCCTTGAGCAAGACACTGAACCCCCAGTTGCTCCCGGTGATGTCACCGGTGTGTGAGTGCTTGGGAGTGCAAATGGGTGAATGGCCAAATAATGTGAAAGCGCTTTGAGTGTGCTGTAAAAGCATAGAAAGGCGCTATACAAGTATAAGACCATTTACCATATCTACTTTTCAGAACTGTCACTCTGTTAGCGTGGTGCTTATGCTACATTTGCTTTGTAAACATGGTGTGAGCACAGTTTCTTTAGGTCTCAAGGAAGCAACATTCTTATAGCTTATTGTTTCTTTAAATTGGTTGACTTGAAGGTCAGATTTGAATGAACAGATGGGGGATAAATGACAGGACGTACCTGAATAAGTGAGTGGTCTCTTCCAGGATGACAGTGCCCTCCATCCATAGGGCATGAGGGCTCACTAAATGGTTTGATGAGTATGAAAATAATGGGGATCATATGCTTTGGCCTTCACAGTTACCAGATCTCCACCACCATCATCAAACCACCAAATGAGGGGATATCTTTTGTAAGAATGGTGTTCACCCCTTCCAGTAGAGCTTAGAGACTCGGAGAGACAATGCCAAGGTGCAGTGAAACTGTTCCGGTGGAATGTGTTGGCCCAACACCGGACTGAGACACTTTATGTTGGGTTGTCCATTCAGTTGTCACCTGTCTGTTTGTTTCTCTTACTTAAAAAAAAGCATCCAGATCCTTTAACAATTTTATTATGACATTACCAGCTGCCTGTATTAACACGTGGTCCACTGTAATTTTATGTGATAGCTCAGGCCACAGTCTCATATGTGACTACTGTATGTGAGTTGACTTGTCTGTGTCTCACACCGTCTCCAGCCTCTCGGGATGCCCCAGAGCCTTGTATGCCAAGAAGAAGGCCAAGTTCCCCACAGAGGACTATCTGACCACCAAGTTCAGAGCCAGTGATGGTAAGATGAGAACATGTGTAAATGCATGTGTGTTTAAAGATGTGCATTTTAGTGTTATCCAAAACCATAATGATTATTTTCTAGAGAGTGCATGTGAAAGTGTTTAGATTAAAGAAAAATTTGGTCAAAAGTAAAACTAAAAATATGAACTTACATGTCTAGTAAAGAAACAACCTTCCTTCTGCTGTAGCCAAGTCCAAGTACATGGAAGGCTGGGATTCAGAATATGCCTACAACGCAATACATAATTTTTACTAAACTAATATACTGTCTATCCTAAAATAGCAAAGGCAAATGCATGGGGCAACCAAAAGACCTACAGAACAGAAAATGTTTTTTTTCTATTTTGAGGTGACTGGTTTCTCCTTTAGTTTTAGAAAGTGATGAGGACATCAAGCAGCTCAACAAAGAGATTAATGACCTCAACGAATCCAACAATGAAATGGAGGCTGACATGGTCAACCTGCAGACTCAGGTGTGTGTGTCTGTTTTATTATTTTATTTTATTTTTTTACCCATACGTCTCTACCTTTGCCGTGGTTTCTTATGGGATAGAAGTGCTGATGTGTTCTGTCAAATTTAGAGTATATGTTGTATGTGAAACTTAAAGTACTCCATTCAGTCACAGGAGCCTCTTAAGGAACATTTCATATACAGTATTACTTACATATTGCAAAGCTCAAACTAAAACAACTTTCATGCCGATAATGAATCTTAAAGTGAAACTGTCACTTTTTAAAGAAGAAACAACACAATAATAATTTTCTTCTTTGAAATTATAAGTTGAATTGATAAGCAATCAAACTCACCTTTGCTCAGCTCAGTCCAATCAGGAATATTTCTGCTGCTATTTTGTTAATGTTAGCAAATCATAGGAACTGTAAATATTATGTTTTAGCATTATTAGTCCTTATTTACAGTTTGTGGCCACAGTGGTTAACAGAAACAACACAGACTTGCTTTAAAGGCAGGTGACATTCTATATTTTGTTACTGTCAAAGAAAATCTCATGAAAGGAGTAGAATGAACAGTCAGCTAGTCTGTGGCCCTCAGGCCCAAGTATATTGTAAATCCTTAAAAACACCTCACAATAAGGCTTAGTAATTACCCTGAACACCTGGCCACTGTAGTTTTTGTCAAACGTTACTCTAACAGGAGGAAATAGAGCACTTGTTGGGAACAATTTTTAACCATGGATTAATACACATTTGATGCTCCAGTGAGTATTTCTGGATTGAAGAACATGTTACTTAGTTCAGAATACTTGTTAGTAGGATACAGCCATTACTGACTTTGGTCTTTCCATGGAAGTTGTTGACGGTAAGAAAAAATAGAGAATACCTCCAGACTTACTATTAAATTTCTTCAAATATTAATTTAATTTTGCAGAGAAAAGACAAGTTATAGGTCAGCTCTGTCGCTTCACAGGAAGAAGGTTCCCGGTTCAAGCCCCGACTGACCCGGGGCCTTTCTGTGTGGAGTCTGCATGTTCTCCCTGTGCCTCCAGCTTCTTCCCACAGTCCAAAGACATGAAGTTTAGGCTGATTGGTGACTCTAAATTGCCCGTAGGAGTGAGTGTGAGTGTTTGTGTGGTTGTTTGTCTACATGTCAGCCCTGTGATAGACTGGCGACTTGTCCAGGGTGGACCCCGCCTCTTGTCGAGTGTCAGCTGGGATTGGCTTCAGCCCCCCTGCTTCCCTATTCGGGAATAAGCGGTATAGATAATGGATGGATGGATGGAAGACAAGTTAGAGTCTTATGCCTAAAGTGGTACCACTGTTAGAAATCCTGTTGCAATGTGTTGCAGATCTCCTCCATGGAGAAGAACTTGAAGAGCATTGAGCATGAGAACAAGATGATCGAGGAGCAGAATGAGGCTCTGTTCATGGAGCTATCAGGTCTCAGCCGGGCCCTGATTCGCAGCCTGGCTAACATACGCCTGCCGCACATGGTGAGCTGTTAGTCCCACATATATACATACACAAAGGTGACCCGCTAAGACACACTTTTATTTTTCTTGAGGAGAATCTCATAGGTGTTTAATTCCTTGCTCTTCTCACATGTTTTTGGTTGTTGTTTGCGCCACAGCAGGAGCCAATCACCGAACAGAACTTTGACAGCTACGTGAGCACCCTGACCGATATGTACACCAACAAAGACTGCTTCCAGAGCCCTGAGAACAAGGCTTTGCTGGAGAGCATCAACAAAGCTGTGAAGGGCATCAAAGTGTGAGGCTCAACACGCACACGCGCACGCACACGCACACGCAAAGTGTGAGGCTCAACACGCACACGCACATGCACACGCACTAACACACTAACACACACACACACACACACACAGAAAGCAAACTGTCCTGAAGCGCAGGAGCGTGTCAGAGTTGGAGATGGAGGGGCTGAGAGATGAAGGAGAATACTCTACAATATATAGAAATATGATTCAAAAACAAGAAGGGAATTCAGGTTATTTAAATAAATGGCAACTTTAAAAAAATCAACCCAGGGAGCACTCTGTAAGAAGAAAAGTGACGCGGACCAAAATCCACACCATGCTGCTGCTGGGATGAGGAGGAGGAAACAGATCCTTCAGTCACAATGGATGGAAAAGATGAATAATGTTACTAGAAACTGTATCTGGGGGATTTCATATGCTGTATGCTTACCTGTTGTCTTTTTTGTGACCTTAACTGTTTTTGGAGAAGGTTTCACTGTTATTTCGTGTTTCACCCCAAATAAAACTTGGCAGAATGTGAACATAGCATTGCTCACAGGTGCTCGGAGACGTGGAGAGGAAGACATAGACGAGTTAAAGACTCTCAGTGAGATCCTGTAGCATTCAACGTGGCGAGTGTATGCGTTGGCTGGCTCCAAAAGCTGTCTGATCCATGACCGCACATACCCCAGCAATATGAAGTGTGCACTAAACTGAATTTGTGTTTGCTTTGCTGTATTACTGTGGCAACAGCGCAATGTTGACACAGTTCAGCAGGAAAAAACGGTCATGAGACAGTGGAGGTTGTTCCTTCTTCATGGTACAGCTAAGATCATGTTTTAAAAAGCAGCAGATGAATCCTTTTGTTTTCTTTTTTTCAAACGAAATGTCAATAGTAATAGTGTGCACACATTTCCAGTTCAGTTAGTCATATCAATAGTATTTATCAACATAGGAATTGCACTTCATTTCAATGAATAGTTTTGTGGTACAATAATTATTGCTATATATGATTTATATACACTTGTGAACTTTTAAATTGTAACTTATTGCCATTTATGTTATTGAGGTTTATTTATTTGAAGCAATCTATTTATTAATTTTGTTTTGTATCACACAAAAATGCATCTTTACTGATTATCACGGTCAAAGCGATTTGCATATGTCTTAGTCAATATTTTAAGAATCTATATAGATAACTGACAAGACATGTTTGGTTTTGAGTACTTTTTAAAAACATTTTTAAGTGCAGATGTTTTATAACTTACAAAAATTTTTGATAATTTTACAAAAAGTTATTTTTGGGTTGTTCTTGTTTTCCTCCCTTTTGTTCTTTCTGTTACCACTGCTGAGAAAAAAAGTATGTATTTATTATTTATTTAATATGAAAGAAATTGACTGATATGGCTGTGTATTTTTGTTGTTATTTATGTGCGTGATGTGATGGTTGAGTCTGAGTAGTTTTAAAAATCCACTGCTAATATTTAAATAAAGAAACAAAATCAATACAAATACTGTTTGATTACTTAGGCGTATACATAGACATACCAGCGGCTGATTGTAAAGACAAAAAAAAACAACAAAAGCAATCACTGTTCTGTGGCTGCCTGACCCCTGTGTGTGTTTGCTTTTGTCAGGTGAAATAAACCAAGAAAATTCTAAAAAACAACTTAAGAGTTCCAAAATGTTACCTCTCCCAAGCGCGTTGTAGCAGCCAGCTCTGGCTCACCCAAAGCCTCTGTAACGTACCAGAGATGTGATGCTTTTTGTTCTTATTTATTATTTTGATCAATACAATGGTACACATATAGAGCTCTATTCCAGCAGTGTTTTAGGCTATATGGATGTATGGGTCTAAAACACACACACACACACAGTGACATATCCAACCCTTGAGGATACTTCATTATGGCCTCCTTTGACAAACTTCTATCAGATAAACATACACACCCTTGTAGCCTTACTCTAGATTTTAATTTTTTGATGCACAAAGTGCCACTGGAAAAGGAGAGAGAGAGAGAGAGAAACAGAGAGAGAGAACTCACTTTCTTTCATGATTCTTCACATTTCTGCAATGTAACAATGCCTGGTCCCGGTATGACCACAGCATCAAGAGAGTGGTGATTGTTTCAAATGCCTTTATTTCTCTGCCAAGATGGCCATAATACACTATATATACATTCTGTATAAATAGATTTTAAAGATGATATATATATGAATATAAACATACATATATTTTTCCAGTGTAATTGTTGACTTACTCTTCTTCTTCTCTTGTATTATCTTATCAAAGGGTCACTAGCTGTCTAGAAGAGATGTGAGTGGTGTTATCAATAGGAGGCAATTACACCTTGTTTAATATCACTAAGACCTGCTCAACTGTGGCTTTAAATATACCATTCAGCCAAGCTGAAGGCAAAGTAGGCGTTGTTGAAGATAGCGTACAATTGTTTTCATACATTTCTTCTCTCTTTTCCTTTATTTGTCTGTTCTTGATCCAGAAATGTCAAATACATCTACTGTATGTTGTACTACTGAATCTGAGAAATGATGAAACTAGATGGTTGGCTCTTTGTTCCTAAGTGTTGTGAGTTCATGTACAGTTTTGGAAAAAAAACAAACAAAAAAAAGATGCCTCTGAATAATGTTCTGCACATAGTGTTTGGCAACATTGTGCAGTTATTGTATTATTAATGGTAAGGCCAGCTCATTATGGGCCCATTCTCTCTAATGTTGAACCAAGCAGGCAAGGGACTAGTGTGTCCTGCCTTTGAGTGATCTGTTGCAGCTACTGTGGTGTATAGTATGATACTCTTGTGTAACACTGATGTCAAAGGCATGTAGTAAATGTGCTTTTAGCCGATGTAGAATGAAACTCCTTTGTGCACTTTCTAACCACTGAAAATGCCAGCATTTAAGTCTCAGCTTGAGAGAACCCCGATAGATCACAGGCAATAGCGAGTATTCCCCTCCGCTGGAGGGCGCATTACAAAGCATTGTCACACCTGTTTGTTGCTGTTCATATAGAGAACAACCTGGATGTTACGTCAGACAGAGGCGTCTCTTTGATTCAGGGGGTGGTGCAGAAAATGGAAATGGTAGTTTCTTTTCCAACCAAAAACCAAAAGAGATTGACAGGAAGCCGAGTTTGGTTCTCAGGTGACTGAGGAGAGCTACTAAAGCAGAACAGAACAATGCCATAGGTCAACCAGTCAGCTGAGGCTAGAGGCGATAGCAGCGGCTGGATCAAGGCCCCGTGTGAAATGAGATGAGTGCGTGGGAGTGGGAAATTGATTTGCCAGGCTACATCGATCTCCCCTGAGTTTTAGGAGTAGGCATTTGTTGCATAAATATGTCTATCATTCAAAAGAATGTCAAAGCTTTTTATGACTTTTAAACACCCCCCCCCTCCCCCTCATGTCTTGTGTAACCTTTCCTCAGGAAAGATAGTTTTGATGCATTTGGTTAACAAAGTAACACATTTTTTGTCTCTTTAAATGCACGAGAATACTACCCGAGAGTGTTAAGACTGTGAATATTCTCCTAACTTATTTTCTATGGCATGACCCCTTTTAAACTGCTTGATGAAATTGTCTACTGAGGTATGTAAATGAATAACACTGAGGCCATGAAAGCAGAGCGTTTTCAAAAAATGTCAGCTGTGAAAGCAAACGCAGCCTACAGTTGGTTCTGCGCCCACACACTGTATGGTTTATTTACATAAAAGTACTGAGTGATGGAATGAGGAGTTTTATTATTCTAAATAAGCAAAGGAAATTAAAAAACAAACTGGTCAGGGCCCAGATTCTTTGTAGCACCTGAATGAAAATAAATTGAACATGATGACACCTTTCAGGGAAACCAGTCTTTTGTTTCCAGGTGTCATGTTAGCTTCAGGTGTGTATTTGTTGGCAGCAGAGCGGTTGCACACACACAGTGCATCGAAAACGACTTGGAAGAAAGAAATGTTAAGTCAAGTGGCACTTTTCATCAAGCTGAGTGAAACCAAAAGCCCCCATCCCCACCCCCCACCTCCCTGACCCTGATGTAGTTGCAAGCTGTGTGGTCTTATCATGTGTGCCTTTCTCACTCCACTCCCTTCAATATAAGGTTAAGTTTACACTTGGCAAACCTGGTTCTAATACTGCTGAAATCATTTGGTCTAGATCTCTTAGTCAATAGCTTTTGTGGAAGCTGGAGATGTGGTGTGTGTGGGGGTGGGGGGCGGTTGCTATATATAGGGAAATAAATGTGTCTTTTACATGCAGGTAGAGACCAACAAAACAGCAAGCTTTTGTTAGACTAAAGAAACTGTGCTGTCATTCTGTCGATTCAGGTACCAAACTGCATGGACAGTTTCTGTGAAGGAATCTGAAGAACATCATCATCATCAATAGATAATGCATCAGTGTGCAGGGCATTATTTTGAAACAAGTGGAAGTCTCTGTACATATTTGTATTAAGAAGAAACAGTGTTATTGTTGCTGTATTGAAACTAAGTTGAAAAGGGAAAAAAAATGTTTGTGATGAAGACAAAACTCCACAGCCAAGGGTTGTCCTGCTCGTACATTTTTACAGAGATGAGCTATTTTTACTGTGTTTTTCTAGGCACTGATATTGATATCCTGTTAAGAAAGTACAAAACTTCCAAAATTACAAGCACTTCCACAACTATAGATTGTATGGTCATTTTTGTTACTTTTGTAGATGCGATAGTTCCTTTGCTACTGCGCCATTTTGTAAAGCGGGATAGGCCTTGGCTGCGTGTCCTCGGGGTCTCATGTTTTTGTTTGTTTGCATTTTATTGTTTGGGAAGTAAAACACTGTAGATGGGCTGAATTTGTGACTGTGTGTTTGTGTACTTGTGTACATGTTCCCCTGTTCATGTGTTAGTGTTATAAACCAGAGAAGTGATGTCAGTTATTGTGGGGGTTTGAACCATTTTAATGTTCTCTATGAAAAACACAAATAAAGAATCATAGACAGGAATGACTCTGTTGTATCTGTGTGTGTGTGTTGTGGGGACACAAATCTGTTTACATACTCACACTTTGGGGAATCTACGTACATCCTTAAAGTCCCTAAAATGTAAATCATTACATTTTAGTGACAACGTGGTTCAAGGGTTTGAGTGAGGTTAGGTTAAAGTCAAGGTTAGTGTATGTCACCAGGAAATGAATGTAAGTCAGTGTAAAGTCCCCTGAAGTGATGGAATCAGGACGTGAGTGTATGTACAGTATGTGTGTGCTTTTGTATGTCTATCTTTGTGAGGACCAGCTTGTATTTTAGATTTTGTGAGGACATATTTACTAAGTGAGGAGATTTTGCTCAGAAAGGGCTGTTTGAGTCAAGACTTGGAGCTTTAACAAAAACAAACTAAACAGCTAATAGTCAGACAGGTGTCAAGTTAAAGGACAACCCAACATAAAGTGTCTCAGTCAGGTGTTGGGCCACTACGTGCCACCAGGGCAGCTTCAGTGCTCCCTGGCATTGACTTTCCAAATGTCTCAGCTCTAGTGGAGAGATGAACACCATTCTCCCAAAAGATATTTCCTTATGCAGTGTTTTGATGATGGTGATGGAGATGCTGTCTAACACACCACTCCGACGTCTCCCATAGGTGTTCAACTGGGTTGAGATCTGGTGGCTGTGCAGGCCACAGCATATGGTTCACATCATTTTCATCCTCATCAAACCAGTCAGTGACCCCTCGTGCCCTGTAGTTGGGGGCACTGTCATCCTGGAAGAGACCTCTCAGTTATTCAGGTTTTTCCCTTTCATTTGTCAGCTGTGTGTATTTAGTTCTGGACTATCTTATATAAGACAAATTTGCTATCAGTGTTGGGTAAATTAAGACTTTTCTCTCTCTCTCTCTCTCACACACACACAAACTGCATCAAACTGATCATCTGCCTTTCCTTCTGAAAAATTATGCAAACAATCACAAGGTTATTTTACTGGGAAACCTCAACAAAGAACACAAAGGCACACCAAAAAGTGTTTACCATCTCACTGCTCACTCCACAGTATTATCAGCAAAGCACACCGTCTATGTTTCCCCCCTTTTTGTCAGTGGGTGCCACTGGTCAGCAGGTCTCCCCATTGTTTCCATTTTGCCATGGAAATAGGTTTTGGTTATACTGTAGTAGGTTAGGCTGGAGGGCAGGTAGGCAAATTTTAACTTCAACTTAAAGTAAGTCAGTCCTTATCTCTGTGACACTGTGCAACTTGCATTAGACTATTCTAAAAGTAACAGTCAGAATGGTCTAACACTGTAGACCAGTCTAAAGTGCCTGTGAAACTGGCCCTTGGTTCTAAGGTTGAATCAGGTTGCAATGGTTAAGGTCAAGGCAAGAGACTAGAAAGTGCACTATGTAAATCAGGGGTGGCCAATTCCAGTCCTCGAGGGCCGCTGTCCTGCTTGTTTTCCAATATCCCTGCCTGACCTGCTGCTGATTACCTGGCTCAGGTGTGTTCAGCCAGTCAGAAGCTGGAAGATACCATCTTAGATGAAAGTGGAGTGAGGAAAGATAAAGTGAATTGGTATCTTCCAGCCCTGATGTAAATGAAGGTTTTTAAAAGTGTACACGTGTGTGTGTGTGTGTGTGTGTGAGAGAGAGAGAGAGAGAGAGAAATGATTAATCTAACACTGCCATAACACCAAGCCTTGTGAATAAATGAAATAAGTTATGTACACACAGTATGCATGGCTCACCAGTGACACAACACACACTGCCTTCATGACTGCTGAACAAAATGGGGGACTTCAATGTGCTGTCAACATGTAATTACATATTTTATATTGAACAGCACTGACATCTGGTGGGCCATTCAGTGAACACATGTTGTGCAGACTCACTAACAGAAGTGACTACACTCCTGTGCAATTTCATGTAGGCCCAGTTTTCAAATGATTTAAATTTGCATTACTTCTAAGTTGAACAGTAGTATAATCATAAGAAACTACTGGTGTTAAACTCAAGATCTACCCAGCAGTATGTAAAGTACTTCAAATGATAAGTATATAAGGTAGTTAACAATGTTAGCTCCGTCTTGATGCTAATTCTTTTGTACTTGTAACACTGTAGTATTTCTTTTACTCAGAGTAGTACTTCTCCTGCCACACATATTTCCATTTTTCCTTTTATTCATAAAAATTCTATAGGTCTGTACTCATCACCCATTTTAGATATTTTAATTAGCACATTATAATTTCTGATAAAAGCCAGACATAAGGAAGCTATATCCTGATACATAAACTCAGATATGAGATTGATGACTTTAAAATGTGCACAAAAATACGGATCAAACACCGTCCTGCACTGGCTCAGCAATGGAGTTACATGGTTTGAAGCAGCTGCTCAAGGTAGGCCGCGCTCCCTTGGCCTCGGCTTACGTGCATTACGTCTGACGTCAGAGCGTCAGCTGGCCGAATGTTTACATCAAGCAGTTGTGTTTCAGACTGGATACCCCCGACAACAAAAGGCTGAGCACAAGGAAAACCGCAAAGCCAGAGAACATTAGTCGGCGTGTCTGCAAGGTAAGCGTTCCGGTGGTGACTCAGGGAGCAACGCTGCTTGCTGACTGCACCAGCTGTTCTCATCCTTGTCGCGGTTTTCCTTCTCCCCCAACGAACACTAGAATGCGGTTATTTGTGTTGACCTTGCCACCGCATGACAGCCACGTATGGATGCAATGTGTTGTTGTTGTTGTTTGTTAGTTATACAAGGTGATTCTTATTTCAAAGGGGTTTTCGTTTCGTGTTTATTCGAAATGGGATCACCCGAGTGGCGCAAACAGCAGCCGCAGCAGCAGGCTGTGGATGTGTGCGCTGCAGTGAAACCTGCTGGAGTTACAGGTCCTACTGTGACTTTTGAGTCGCTTTCAAAACGATGTAAGCGAAAAAACCGAGGCAGCAGCCAGCTGAATCAGCAAATGAACTGCTGCGACTCTCAGTGTTTTGCAGGAAGCGTGTACCGTAGTAGCCTCTACACCAGTTGTTTAAAATGGCTTACAGCGCCCTGTTGTGGTCACTGGTGCTGACATTCTAAAGAAGCTCTATATTATTCACACGTGAACCATCTCATCTTGGGTTCTTTTCCCTCAGAATGGACATTGATTTGATGCAAGAACTGCTGTGTGAGTCTTTATTGACATCATCCTGTTTAGTTCAGCCAAATGGTAGCAAATGCAGGAGGGCCAGTGCTTATTTAAATGCACATGCTCCTTTGTTCTTTTATGGCCTCATGACTTCCCTGCACTCTGTGATCTCCGTCCTTTGCCATTGCTCTCTGGTGTTGTCTTTAACACCACAGTCACAGCATCATTCACACTTACAGTTGTGTTCTGCTTCTGAAAGCTTCATTTAGGACCTTATTTGGTTCAGTCAAGCTTTAGTTATGGCCAAATTCCTAAGGAGTTTAGTGGCAGATCCATTTTGACTCAGTAAGGTTGTGATTGTCTAAAACTTTAGCCAGGTTGTGCACAAGTTATCACAAAAAGGTCAGACTATAATGGAAGTGTTAGCACTGCAACAAGTGCTTCTTTTCAGTATGGATTAGTTTGATGGTTACTGTCTCAGTTAATCAATGAATTATTTAGTTTTTAAAATACCAGAAAACACTACAGTTTCTTGAGGGCCAAAGTGGTGCCTTCATATACAAGCAACAAGGACCTTTGATGCATTAAGAAAATTATATGTTCTGTCATTTGAGAAACAAGACAGTGACTGACTTTTTTACTAATTGATGAATTGATTAATTGTTTCAGTTGTAGTTGATCATTAATATGAGGTTTGTCACAGTTACAAACAAAAACAAGAATGAATATGTTCATGTTTCTGTAGAGTTCCCCTCACTAATCCTGCTGACCGGATGACAATGAGCCTAAATGTCTGTGTGCAGCACTGCTTAATGCATCATCGTTCCACTGGGTTAGTAACCCATCTGTTTTGTCTATGTCTCCAATCAGAATGGGTGGAGCTGTGAGTGCTGGTGAGGACAATGATGACTTGATTGACAACCTGAAGGAGGCTTACTACATCCGTTCAGACCTGGTGGAGCGGGCTTTTCGAGCTATTGACCGGGCCGACTATTACCTGGATGAATACCGGGATAATGCTTACAAGGTGAGCAAACTGAAAGTCTGAGGAGGATAAAGTCACAGCCTACATGACGACTGTTTTGAGGTTAAACGCAGGTCGATGTGACTGGCTATTTGAGGGAACAGCTGTAGAGTTTGAGGTATCAGAGAACCATATTTTATTGTTGTTGTTAGGACTTGGCATGGCGGCATGGAAACATCCACCTGTCTGCGCCATGTATCTACTCGGAGGTGATGGAAGCTTTGGATCTCCACCCTGGCCTCTCCTTCCTCAACCTTGGCAGTGGAACCGGCTATCTCAGCACCATGGTCGGCCTCATACTGGGTCTGTGGTTAACTGCAGCAATTCAGATTCAGCATGTAATGTCTCTATTTGAACTCTGCCAACTTTATTGAGCCTGCAAGCTTGTTTGGTCAGTCAGCTTGGTAACAAGGCAGCATTTCTTAAGACCCGCCCTCCCCCCCACGTGTAAGCTCTGAGTCTGCTTAACTCCACACTCCCTGCTGTGCTGAGGTTTCTGGGCAGGGACAAGGTCAGGATGTAAACACCAAACATCAATGATATTAACATAATAATCTATTCCACATTAGTTAGCTAATTGAACCCTGGTTAGGTCAATAATATACATCAGTCCTCCTTTGTGTGGTTATGCAGTGATGTTCCAGGCAGTTACCATTCTTATAGGTCTAGGTCTGGGAACATCCACCAGACACTTGTTAGCAGACCTGAAAACCTGTTGCTATGTGGACACAATAACCATAAATGTACCCAGAGTGCTTTGCAGAGTCTGAGGAAATCTATTTTAAACTGCAATCTGGAGTAATGTGCTCCCTGCACTTTGTTTTTGCAGCATTTTGAATCAACTGTAGATGAGCTACAGCTCTTTGGTTAATGCTAAATGAATTGTAATCGAAGGGTTTGACCGGATGGTCACCACAGGTCACATGTAAAGGAGTGGGAATAAGTTGTATTGAGGTTCTCACTGGCCTATGTTAATGAAGGTGTCAGTGCCTCACATTTTACTTAAGTAAGCGCATAATCACACAACATCCTAATGGCTTTACTAACACGTTGTATCCATGTAAATATGGTTAGTTTAAAACTGTGAACCGTGGTGTGCTAACTGCTCCAGGACCATTTGGAGTGAACCACGGCATAGAGTTACATGCAGACGTGATCGAGTACGCCTACCAGAAGCTCGACTCTTTCATCAAAAACAGCGACAGCTTTGACAAGTAGGTCTTCAAATGTGTCAGGGACATATAATGTCTTTTAACTTGCGTGCAGTTTTTTCCACCGCTCCTGTGTCTCTCTTCAGATTCGAGTTCTGCGAGCCAACCTTTGTTGTGGGTAACTGCTTGGACATCCCTCCAGAGAGCCGTCAGTATGACAGAGTGTACTGTGGGGCCGGCGTACAGAAGGAGCATGAGGATTACATGAAGAACCTGCTCAAGATGGGGGGCATCCTGGTGATGCCTCTTGAGGAAACATCTTCTATAAGACACTATCATGTAGTTGCAAGCCAATATGTGTTTGCAACTACATGATAGTGTCTTATAGAAGATGTATTAATTTGACTTGTCGTCAACTAGATGCTGCTGTAATAGCTTAAAATAGGTATTCTTTAGAGAAATTATGTTAACAAATACTGCACATTAATAAACACTTAATTCCCTTACAGCACAGACAGTGGTTTTTGACAATACACTTTAATCACATGCACAGTGCATGTGCGACATTTGTTGCAGGTCTCCCTCGTGTCTGATTCTGCCTCTCCTGTTTCCTGTCCATCTCATCCACTGAGAGAATAAAGGCAAAATGCCTCCCCCCAAAAAATTAAAAAGTTTCTTATAGTCGCTTAAAACTGCATTATGTTGTAAAAAGTTTATTAAGTGTTTATATAGTGCTTAAATCCTAAACAGCAGAAGGAGAATTAAAATAAGGTGATACAGCTTTTATATTGTTGTCATCTTAGTGTCCAAGCAGAAGGAGAATTAAAATAAGGTGATACAGCTTTTATATTGTTGTCATCTTACTTACTTACTTACTCCGTATATGTTTATGTGTATCTGTAGCTTTATTCAATGTCTGAAAATGTTAGAAATGAGTCAGTGTTATATTCTGTGGACAGCAGCTTGTAACACATTTCTCAAATTTCTGAAACATGAATGAGTTGCACCTTTCAGCAGTGTTTTTTCTTAGTGATGAACATTTGAAGCTGTTCTTGTTGGATTGATTGGCTTAATGCAGCATGTTAACATGTTGTTAACACACTGATATTATGGACTATAAATGCAAAGCAGCTTTTTGAAGTTACACACAAAAAAGAACAAGGTGAACAGATGTGATTTCATCTTGCTGTATTTCCTGCAGTTGACCAAGATCACCCGGACGGGAGCGAGCAGCTGGGAGACCAAAAAGATCATCTCTGTGTCCTTCGCTCCTCTGGTGCTGCCTAAACATAGCACAAATGGCAAACCCCACACCCTCAGGGTGACCACAGATGGAGGGGACAACCAGTCACGAGGCAGAGGTTCCTCTTTCAGTGTGGGTAGGGGTCTGGCCGTGGCTGGGCTTCACAAGTATGGCCCTCGCTTCAAACGCCGGCGTGTCCACCGGCGCCACT